AACGTAGTTTACTGTCATAGAGGTATCACAAATGTTTTGATCCTCTAGGACTCGTCTCACCAATTTCATAAAGGGTAAAGATGCTTATGCAAGATGCATGGAAATCGAAATTGGATGGGTTGAGAATTGGCCTCTAGAAATGAGTCAAGCATGGGATGATGATAAATATCCAGGAGTTTAAACAACTTCATCAAATTAAGAATTTCCCAGACAAAATAGTGTAAAGAGGGAAGGAAACAAGTACACATTACATGTGTTCTGTGATGCGTTCAACCAGAGGTTTAAGGCGCTGTAGCTTACATGGTGGTAATGCTGAAGGAAGTACACTAATTACTTTCAAAGGCCAGGGTAGCACCTCGAAGGTCAGAACAAGTTACCAATTGGAACTGACAGCACTCCTATGTAGGTACAAAATTTAGCTGTCTATCTCAACAAAGTACTTGCTATATCACTATTGCAAAAAACCGTGATCTGGAGTGTGATAATGAAGCAGTTCTCCAGTGGTTAAGAAATAATAGGAGTAAGTTGGTCGATGTACAGAACAGAGTAGCAGAAATAAAAGAGAGCAGAGAGATTATCTCTTTAGTCACGTCTCTACCAAGAGAATCCAACTGAGACAGGTTGTTCCGTGGTTGTCCCACTCAAGAAATTTGTGGATAATAAATTATGCTCCACGGACCGAACTTCTCTCTCTAGTGAAAATACTGGCCTCTGCATAGAAGGCTCAACATTATGAAAGAAGAAACAGTTACTTGAAAACACAGCAGAAATAAGTTGTTGTAAATACTGCAGAACAACAGATATAGTCAATGATCGATCTAAAATACTATCTTTGGGTAAACTCTTAAGTGTTACAGACTCTTGTCTTTAAATTCTATTAAAGGAATAAAACCTGATTATGAATGTCTTGAACTCATTAAATACTGGTGTTGATGAAACTATACAGAAGTTGTTGTTTCTCTACAGATATAATATAATTTCTGGAAAAACACAAGATAAATCCCCAAAGGAAACCTGTCATGATTAATTCTTCTATGACTTGATCTCGGATCAGAAAAGATTATAAGATGTGAGGACTAATTCAGAATTCTTCACTACCTGAAGAAACCTTAGCATCCAATATTGATCCCCAAGAATCATTGGCTAACTAAAATGATTGTGCAAAACGCCCACAGTAACGTGTTACATGGTGGGGTAGCTGACAACTTTGTCTCTATACGACAATCCTACTGGAATACCTCAAGGTCGACAAAGTGTTGAAAAAACAAATAAAGGATGTATACTTGTCGTCACTACAAATATGCGAGTATGTCAGTATCCAGGTTCCACTCCATAGCCCTTATGAAAGAGTTTGTCATATCACTTCTCTTTTGATGTGTCAGGTGTAGATTACACTGGACCAATAATTTTAAACCAAATACAGTTGACGAATGTTCCCATCAAGGTGTACATTACTGTTTGTTCACTAGTGCTACAACTAGAGCAGTAATCTAAGAAGTAGCCACTGACATGTCTGCTGAAACCTTTATCAAATTATTCAGGGTTTGCGCCGCCTAGAAGGCATGTCCCAGACTGATGATTTCAGATAATGCAACTAACTTTGTTTCTAGTGCTGTCCTCATATAAGACAAGATCTTTGATCAACCAGAAGTTACAAAAGATGATGAATCAACGCAGTTTTGTCTGTTGGAGTTACATTCCTCCATAATATCTTCATGGGCACGGCCGGATTTTATGTAAGAATGAGTCGGCATTGTAAAAGTTGTTTAAGGAAGACTCTTCATGGCTCAAAGAATAGATTAGAAGAATTCCGCCTACAGTTGTGATGGAAATAGAAATAGAGTCAACAACAGATACCCGTCTCTAACTTATGTTACCGTGATCTAGACGGATTTAGAAGTGTTAAGCCATCTCATTTACTCATGGCAGGAAGGCTCGAACCTGTTCCATCCCAGATGAATGATTTAAGAAATCATAGATGATCCTACTTATTCGAACCGAGCCAAACTCAGACGTAAATTCAAACACCTTTATTAAACGTGATTGAACGTTGGGAGGAATTTGCGAGAAGACTATCTCACCTCATTGAGAGAACACTTCTATGGAGCTGGTTGTTCCTGAAAATCATAGGTCCTTAAGACTGGTGACATAGTCATTATCGACATTGGATGGTCCGAGGGTCCCAATGGCCATTGGAAAAAATTGTGACCATATATCCTGAGCAATGTGCAATCATCAGGACAGTTCGATGGTTTTGATGCCATAGGTTATGTGTAGTGAATAAGCGGACAATAAATAAAACTAGTGCCATTAGAATTACAGTCGTTTGATAACAAAATTAGGGATTCTCAGAAACCACACAGACTAAAGCTGTTCAGAAAAAGACAAAGCAGCAGTGGTGCGAGTGAAAAAATTAAATTAATGTTTAAGTGATGAACAGTTCACCTGCAGCAACCTCACCGTCCCCAGAGTGGAGAAATTTTCTCAGGAGAAGGGTTATATCAGCCCCTTTTCAGCCCTTCAGCCACTTTCAGCCCTTGAGGGGCCAGCCCTCTAAGAAGGGCAATATTTGTTTTACTGCTACAGCGAGTAATTGACCCCAGATGGCGTACCAGTAAGTGCGTGGCTTGACCTCCGTGCTGGTCCTGTGTTGCAAATGTGTAGCTTAATAAAAGACAGTTCATCTTTACCTTAGCAGGACAAATTAAGGAAAATCCTGATCCCACTTTATTACCATAGTAAAGATAGTGGACATTGGTGTCTATGCTTAAGACAGCAAGAATCATACATTTTGCTTTTCTTTCATCGAGGAAGTGGCAAGGAAGCAAAAGTAGTACTAGTCTGCTTTTCCTTTTGTGCTATGGGAGTAACGGCGTGGGCGCGCTGTGCGTCTTCAGATTAGACTTTTGACTTACTGAGAGTGACACTGACGCCAGGATAACCAACAAAGAACATGATCTGTGCGTTTAGTGTGAACAAAGTGTCTCCACAAAACACAATAAACACCTTAAGAGAAGTGTGTAAGCTTCTTTAGTGATAAGATTTGTGAACAATAAGACAAATCTTGTGGATTGGAACACTGTGTTACCAGTGTGCGTAGTTAATAGACTATGGAGAGTGGACATCCAAGGACAATTCAGCTTCTATCAAGTCACCGATATCTGTCGAAGGTGTGAAGAACTCACCATAGCTCATGCTACAAGAGCAAGGTTAGGTTACGAATTTTAGTGTATGGGGGACCCTGCTCAGTTCTCTTGAGTCGGCAAGGAGTTTGTAATCAACTATAAGCGACCGTTAGGTGAGGACTTTTGAGTCCACGCAAGTAAGTTTGTCAGCCATCAGTGAATGAAATATGCTGACATAACACCCCCTAGGGGTAATTTATAATCTTACAAATTATAACTCTTTACAGCCCGTTGAGAGATGACTTCGACAGCTTTCAAGACCTCGTTGCAGGGGCGGCTGTGCAGGGAATGAGATGTCTTTCCAAGTTAAGTTTTCCTATACTTAAACTTAACTTTCAAGGTAATGTTATTTCTCAACAAGAGTTACTTCTGCAAGAGGTGGTGATGTGGTACAGTAAGAAGTGTTAGTGGTACATGTGGTGGTGGTGTGAACAGAAACAAGTGCTACTGGTAGAAGTGATGCTTGAGTGGCACAGTAACAAGTGTTACTGGTGTAAGTGTTGGTGGTGGTGTGGTACAGTAACAAGTGTTACTGGTTTAAGTGATGGTCGTGTGGTGCAGAAACAAGTGTTACTGGTACACGTGATAGTGGTGTGGTACAGTAACAAGTGTTACTGGTTCATGTGTCGGTGATGTGGTATAGTAACAAGTGTTACTGGCACAAGTGGTGGTGGTGTGGTACAATGGCAAGTGTTACTGGTACAAGAGTTTTTGGTGAGGCACAGTAACAAGTATTGTTGGTAAAAGTGAAGGTGGTGTATTACAGTGACAAGTGTTACTGTTACAAGTGATGGTGGTGTGGTACAGTAACAAGTGTTATTGAACAAGTGATGGTGGTGTTGAACAGGAACAAGTGTTTCTGGTACACGGTGGTGGTGTTGGTAGAGTAACATGTGTTAATGGTACAAGTGATGGGTGTAGATACAGTAAAAGTGTTACTAGGTATAAGTGGTGGAGGTGTGGTTTAGTAACAAGTAGTACTGGTTCCAATTGGTGTGGTGTGGTACAGTAACATGTGTTACTGGTACAAGTGATGGTGGTGTAGAACAGTAACAAGTGTTACTGGTATAAGTGGTGGAGGTGTGGTATAGTAACAAGTAGTACTGGTTCAATTGGTGGTGGTGTTGTCAGTAAACAAGATGTTATGCGTGTGAAGTGGTGGTGGTGGTGTGTCAGTAACAAGTGTTATGGTATAATGGTGTTATGGCGTGGAATAGTAACAAGTTGTTACTGGAGTGGTACTCAAGAAGTGTTATGTACAAGTGGTTGAGGTGAGGTACGACAGTGATAAGTGTTACTGCGTACGAGTAGGTGGTAGTGTGGTATATTAACATGTGTTCTGGTATTAAGTTTGGTTGTGGGTGGGGTATAGTAACAAGTGTTACTGGTACAAGGGGTTCTGGTGTGGTATAGTAACAAGTGTTACTGGTACAAGTGATGGATGTGTGGTAGAGTGACAAGTGTTACTGGTACAAGTGGTAGTGATGTGGTACAGTAACAAGAGTTCCTGGTACAATTGGTGGTGGTGTGGTACAGTCGCAAGTGTTAATGGTACAAGTGAGGGTTGTGTGGTAGAGTAGCAAGTGTTACTGGTGATAAATTAGACACATGTGCAACTCTTGGGTATCTTTATTGAGGAAACGTTTCGCCACACAGTGGCTTCATCAGTCCATACAAAGGAGAATCTTGAAGAACAGGAGGAGAATGAGGTAATCAGTCCCTCAACCTTGAGTCGATGAGGTCAGTCCATCAATCATGATTCTATTCAAGAATGATGGACTGACCACATCGACTCAAGGTTGAGGGACTGATTACCTCCTTCTCCTCCTGTTCTTCAAGATTCTCCTTTGTATGGACTGATGAAGCCACTGTGTGGCGAAACGTTTCCTCAATAAAGATACCCAAGAGTTGCACATGTGTCTAATTTATCAACATGTCGGTTCTCTGAACCATTCATCTACAAAGTGTTACTGGTGCAAGAGGTGGTGGCGTGGTACAGTAACAAGTGTTACTGGTACAAGTGATGGTGGTGTGGTACAGTAACAAGTGTTACTGGTACAAGAGGTGTTGGTGTGGTACAGTAACAAGTGTTACTGGTACAAGTGGTAGTGTGGTACAGTAACAAATGTTTTGTTGCAAGTGATGATGTTATGGTATAATACCAATGTTACTGGTACAAGTGGTGGTGCTGTGGAACAGTAACAAGGGTTACTGGTACAAGTGGTGGTGGTGTGGTAGAGTAACCAGTGTTACTGGTGCAAGTGGTGGCGGTGTGGTACAGTAACAAGTGTTACTGGTACAAGCGAGGTTGGTGAGGTACAGTAACAAGTGTTACTGGTACAATTGGTGGTGGTGTTGTACGATGAAAAGTGTTATTGCTATAAGTGATGCTGTTGTGGTACAGTAACAAGTGTTACTGGTGCAAGAGGAGGTGATGTGGTACAGTAAGAAGTGTTTCTGGTACATGTGGTGGTGGTGTGGAACAGTAACAAGTGTTACTGGTAGAAGTGAAGCTGGAGTGACACAGTAACCAATGTGCTGGTGTTACGTGGTGGTGGTGTGGTGTTGCACAGTAAAAAGTGTGGATTACAGGTTCAAGTTGTCGGTGATGTGGTATAGTAACAAGTGTTAATGGAACCAAGTGGTGAGAGGTGTGTACAGTGAACAAGTGTTACTGGTAGAAGTGAAGCTGGAGTGACACAGTAACAATCGTTGCTGGTTGTACCGTGGTGTGGTGGTGTGGCACAGTAACAAGTGATACTGCGTTCAAGAGCGGTGAGTTGTGATGTGGTATAGTAACAAGTGTTATGGAAAAAGTGGAGGAGGTGTGATACAGTGACAAGTTGTTACTGTAAAGCGTTTTTGGTTTGTGGCCCCAGTAACAAGTTTGTTACTGTAGAAGTGATGGGGTTTTATTAAAGTGACAAGTGTTACTGGTGCAAGTTATGGTGGTGTGGTACAGTAACAAGTGTTACTGGCGCAAGTGGTAGAGGTGTTGTACAGAAACAAGTGCTACTGGTACAAGTGATGGTGATGTGGTACAGTAACAAGTGTTACTGGTACAAGTGATGGTGGTGTGGTTACAGTAACAAGTCGTTACTGGTGCATGTTGGTAGAGGTGTTGACAGAAACAAGTGTTACTGGTACAAGTGATGGTGGTGTGTGTGGTACAGTTAACAAAGTGTACTGCGCAAGTGGTAGAGGTGTTGTACAGAAACAAGTTGTAACTGGTACAAAGTGATGGTGGTGTGGAGTGTGAGGTACAGTAACAAGTGTTACTGGCGCAAGTGGTAGAGGTGTTGTACAGAAACAAGTGTTACTGGTACAAGTGATGGTGGTGTGGTACAGTAACAAGTGTTACTGGCGCAAGTGGTAGAGGTGTTGTACAGAAACAAGTGTTACTGGTACAAGTGGTGGTGGTGTGGTACAGTAACATGTGTTTATAGTTTATTGGTACAGTGATGGGGTGTGGTGCAAGTATCAGTGTTACTGGTACAAGTGACGATGGAGAGGTTACAGTAACAAGTGTTTACTGTCAAGTTTTAGTGGTGTGGTACAATGACAAGTAGTACTGGTCAAGGGTGGTGGTGTGATCAGTAACAAGTGTTACTGGTACAAGTGATGGTGGAGTGGAACAGTAACATGTCGTTACTGTACAAGTGGTGGTGGTGTTTGTTCAGTAACAAGTGAGTTACTTGGTAGCAAGTGGTGGTGGGTAGGATGTGGTAGAGTAAAAAATGATGATTTTGTGAGTAGAATAAAAAGTGTTACTGCACTAGTGGTGTTTTGTGAGGTACAGAAACAAGTGTTACTGGTACAAGCTGGTGTCTGTTGGTGTTGTACATAAACATGTTATATATGGGTAAAAGTTGGTGGTGGTGTGGTTACAGTAACAAGTGTTGCTGGTACAAGTGATGGTGGTGTGGTACAGTGACACGTTGTTACTGTACAGTGAAGCGGTATGGTACAATGATTAGTGTTTCTGGTGCAAGTGATTGAGACGTGGTACAAGTTTACAAGTGTTACTGGTACATAAATGATGGGGTTTGGTACCAGTAACAAGTGTTCCTGGAAACAAGTGATGGTGGTGTTGGTACGTAACAAGTGCTTCTGGTTACAAGTTGGTACTGTGGTGGTTAAAATGATAAGTGTACTGGTACATGTGATGGGTGGTTGTGGTACAGTAACAAGTGTACTGGTACAAGTTGGAAGCGGGGGTATTGGTACAATGATTAGTGTTTTCTGGTGCAAGTGATGTGAGTGGTACAGTTTACATGTGTTACTGTACATGAGGTGGAGGTTTGGTACAGAGGTTTGGTACAGTAACAAGTGTTATGGAACAAGTGATGGTGGTGTAGGTACAGTATACAAGTGTTACTGGTTAAAAGTGATGGTGGTGTGTAGAGTAACATGTGTTCTCGTCAAGTGAATAGCGGTCTGTGGTACAGTGAACAAGTGTTATGGTAAAAGTGATGGTGGTGTGGTAGAGTAAAAGTGTTACTCGTAATGTTGATAGCGGTGAGGTACTGTAACTAAGTGTTACTGGTACAAGTGATGGTGGGCTCACCACATCGTCACACAAGAATCAGGCAAAAAGAAGCAATTCGGCACACTAGGAATAATCTAATGCCATAACAGCAATTGGAGATTCTAGGGTTTCCTGTGTGAGCTCTCCATATATTCACTGTAGGCATAGATTGTAGACACCGAGTGTATTTTACATCAGCAACCATTAATTATTGCTATACACAGGAATTAAGATTTTTTCTGTCAGATGTTTTAAGTACTTTCAAGGCTCTCAAGTATCGTATACTCCTTCAGACTCTGTGTACCTAGGTTTTATTTTGCTTAATACAGTAGGTGGCCTTACAGGTGTTATCTTGTAGCAAAAACTCCTCAATTGACTTTTATTCTTCATGATACCTATTACGTTGTAGCCCACTTCACTACGTTACTATCCATAGGAGATGTTTTTGGAATTTTCGGGGTATTGTTCACTGATTCCCACTATTCACTGGATTTTCTGCTGAATTCTTCATGAGTTAAAACCCTCACTTCTTTACTTTATTTTTAGGAGTAACTTATCCTTCTTTCCTCAACACTTCCTTGGATTAAATGGTATACCACGACGTTATTCAGACTACCCAGATGCTTTCGCAGCTTGTAATATTGTCTCATCCATCGATCCCTCATCTCATTATGTGGCTGTTCTCTGGTTCATAATTATTGTTTGAGAAGCTTTAATATCAAAATAGTAGTATTACTTCACCGGACCCTTCCTCTACCTTCCTCCATTGAATGGCAGACCCTTTCCCACCTGCTGATCACTGGGTATGCAGAAATTCCTCTATTTCTTAAACTATCTAAAATGACGATGATGTATAGGATTTAAGCTTCCTCCAGGAAGAATCTACCTTCTTTTAGAAATGCAACATGAGGATGTCTAGGACTCCAAGATAGTGCTTCTCCACGTTATAGAACAATATAACGTACTTCACGATCACAAATATTTATTCTCATTTACTCACTACATTAGGTAGCTTATATTTTAATTAATTCAGCACTAAACTCACTTATTAACCGATTTTTTACTTGAAAACCAAAGAAATGAAATTATATTGACTATTTACCTGCTATCATCTTAATTCTATCATGCTATGCCTTCACTACGGTTACTATACTTATTGCGACGAAAACCAATAACTCGTGAGTCACAATTAAAAACATCGCGCATCAATGATACGGATTTACGATTATTCGCGACTTTCTAGGTGTCGAATTTGATTTCCTACATGGCACCCTTAATATCGACTCAAATGTTACGACTGTAGATGTTGATAACGAATCCCTATTCCCTTAAATACTCAAATTCGTCTTATTATTTCAGCAGCAGACGTAATCCATTCCTGAACTATTCCTTCTGAGGGGTAAAAGCCGACGCCATCCCAGGACGACTTAATCAAATTAGGTTTCTGTAAATCGACCGGGCCTATTCTACGGTCAGTGTTCCGAAATTTGCACGGAGCTAACCATAGGTTTATACCAATTTTAATTGAAAGGATTTCGGTAGACTCTTTCTGGAATTGAATTTCTAGAAATTCATAAGTAACTTTCTCTACAGATAACTTATTAAGTTTAGGTCTTTTAACCTAAAAGTGTTCTCCTACTTCTGAGACTAAAATTAGTTAAAAATAACATTAGTTACGGGCAGACCCGCGTGAAAGTGCAAGTCTGGTCCTCATTAGCGTAAGGCGTTGTTTTGCGCACGTCACAACTCCGCCGCGCATTAGGTTCCCATTCATCTATTTTGGACCCAATTCACAGACCTTCCTGAGTCGCCCAGGCTGGAGCGGTGATGGCGCTGCCCTCGCTTCCCATTGGTCGAGACAGCAGATGTAAACACTTATACCTTGCCGGCGGACCAATACTCGTTGTTTCTCGGATAGTGTCTCCTTATATACTGATGCATTTAGCCAATACAATGCGGTAAGTACTGATTTGTGTGTTTGTGTGTAAATGAATAGTTTAGCCATTATTTTGATATATTATATGAAGGCGTTGTGAAGCATATTTACGAGTGCACCATGCAAATGAAAAAGTGGGGTTGCAACAAAATAGGACCATGCCGGCCGTTCCTGCCTTTTAGTGAGTTTTCAAGTTTCGGTATATAAATATTTCTATAGATTTTGGTAGTGATATATATGAATTCAGTATTGGTCTGGGTGTGTACGATGTTTTTATTGTCCTTCCAGATCAATAGAAATTGTTCCTACGGGAGTCTCTCCAAGGACTAACTCGAAATTTGTTCTGTGTTTGGGATG